TGAACTCTTTAACCCTTGCGGTAATCCGCAGAGTAGTATCCTTGTTACGCCTGAACTCTGGCTGGGGAACGGGTACAAGGGACTGACCAGTGATGTTAACTTGCAAAGGTGATCACTGACAACAGGCTTCAGTCCAGGTCCTCACGCTCCATGAGGCCTCTCTCATCTCTGTCCTGTACTTACTGCACGCCCTCCGTACTGACCTCTGAGGGTCGTTTTCCTTGTGTTTAAAAAGCAGAGATATTACTACGACCTTATGGCTTTGTTTTTGGCTTAAGAGAGGAAACAGGTGTTGTGTATGTTGTGAACTGCAGTGCCTGGCACCTAGTAAGTGCTTAGTAAACTTCATTTGGGGGGTGAGAAATCATCCAGCTCCATCCTAGAAGCAATTTATTTCTTATGCCTTATTTTTATTTATTTGTTCCAGCAAGGAATTACATTCCTGTTTTCAGGGAAAATACCCTAGGAGAGGGTGGAGAAAGTGGAAGGGGGCTGCCAGGTTCTCAGCCCCCGTGTCTTAGCCAGAACACGCATCCTAGGGATCGGCGATGAGAGTTTTCATCTCTTTTGCATCTAGGGAACCACAAACCATAGGCTCATTAATTCCCTTGTCATTTCTCCTGCTTTGCTCTCCTTTCTTGTGCTTTGCAAACTAAACTGGCAAAGCTAGTGAGGAAGGTTAAGCGGTGAGTTGACCTCTGAGTTTAGGTTTGTGCCTCTCTAACCCCTTGACACTTGTACTCTCTGTTTTGGGGGACGATGGTGCTATCGTGCCTGCCGAGACCGTGGCCCCGGTGGGAAGAAATCCCTGTCCAAGCTCCGTTCATCCCTTCTCCTAGCAGCTAGGACCATGTCTGACACAGAGCAGGTGTTCAGAAAATGGCTGTGATTTGGCGAATGAATTTGTGGATCTCTGTTCCCTCTCTGGAGGGAAGCTCCTGCCGAGATCCCCCTGGAGCTGGTGTATTAAGACAGAGGGGTGGAAAATCCCTCTTTCTCTCAGCTCAGCTAAGATCATGTTTTTCAGAAGTACTCTTTCCTTGTAAACCAAGTGCAAGCAGGATAAACACCGAGTATAGAAACCGGTTGGAGATTTTGCAGTATGACTCAGCGGCAGTCTGCTCTCCGATGGTTGGGCCAGCTCTGGCCTCCTCCCCACTTTTCTCTCTGGGTTGAATTCTCAGGCTGCCAGGCTGAGTTTGGGTTTGGATTGGCAGGTTCTCTGGCCTTGTGGGATTCTTCGATCCCTGGGAGCACCTGCTTCCTGACATTGCAACCTTGATGGGAACTCCCTCCCAGAATTTCTTCTCGGCTGCAAGCCATTCGGTGGTAACCCTGGTGGTGATTCTTGTAAATTAAATTTAAAAAAATTTTTTTAATGTTTTTTTATAGGATTCACAGGGTACAAAAATTTTAAATATATAGTAAGTTATACCATAAAGAATCTCCCTCTCTTGTACCCCAGAAACCCAGTTCTCATTCAATACCCCCCCAAGAGAATTATTATAACAGCAGTTTATCAGACATTCTTCCAGACCTTCTTTATGCATATGGAAGGAACATATATATGGAAAAGCAGCCGGGGACACTCAACAATTTGTAGGAGGTCCACAGACTGGGGTCTGTATCTCCTCCTAACTTCCGGGAATAAAGTTTGCTAAAGTGTTTTGTTGCCCTACTTAATTTCCAGCAACAGCTTCAACTTTCTCCAGCTCCTTACTTGGGGAGATGGATAAGAGGGGACAAAGCCCAGTGCATTTATATGTAATTTTTAAAATGCATACGTGCTTCGCCTGCTTGAAAATCAAGGTGCTATCTATTTCAGTTCAAAGGGCCTGTTGGAAACCAAATCACATTGCTGTTCCAGAGCAGTTAAGTTCAAAGAGCAGATGTGACAACTGAGTTAATTGGTATTCTGTAAATAAAAATACATATTCTTATTTTTCTCTTATTTTTTCACAAGGTAGCATATTATACACACTGTTCAGCATCTTGCATTGTTTAAGACTTAATATAACCTAGATCTTTATGTACCATTAGAATTCTTCTCTCTCTCTTTTTTAACAATTGCATAAAATTCCATTGTAAGAATGAAACAGTTTTTTACGAGTACTTTATTGGTGCCCATTTGTGTTGATTCCTTTATTTTGCTGCTACAAAAACTCCGTACATATATGCAGTGACCTTGTCTAACACATAACATGCTCCGAAGTAGGACAAGTTTTGTAAGGGACAGAACCACTTCGTGATTGGCACCCTTCGCCCCCAGGACAACAGAATATTGACTTAACTGATCCGATGGGGTCTATTCTGTTTGGCTAAGTCTGTATAAACAAGACCTGGCGGACAGGGTTTTGAACTCAGGATTGAGGAAGGGACATATGTCTGGTTCTCTTACTATACCCGGTCAGAAATAGTCCATTAATTAGGTTGAAAGTATAGAGAGCGGATCGTTGTGCAGATTCCTGTGTCTGGTTCCTCCTCAGTAAGGGACCGAGGATCTGAGTTCTCAGTGTGATAGAAGCATCTCCTAGCCTTCCGCTGCTCATTCTTCTCCATCACCATCTCGCTGCTCCTGGTATGGCTGCTTCTAGCTTCAGCCCTAGAAGCTTCAGTCTTTCTGCTGTGCCTTTGTCTTGGCGGCTGTGTCAAGTTCCCTCCTTAGCCTCTGCTCCTTTATCAGCCGGTTTCTCCCGCAAGCTTTGTCTCCCCGTAATGCTCTGCAGAATTCTGGCCGTGGCCACAGCTGGTGGCAGCCCTGGCAGGACCGGAAGGTGCTGTACCTCCCCCTCACCGTGAGCTGCAGCCTTTCTGCCTCCCGTGATCGGTCGGGGACCATGCTTCTCGGATTCCTCAGTTGGGTAGCGTGGTGATGCTCCCAAGTCCTGCCCTGAAAAGTCCCTGGGCAGTAATCACCTGTTAACCACGTCCAGCCTCAATTAACGATGCTCACATTTACATGGATCCCTCCTCCACTGTGCTCCGGGAGGGTTTCCCATAGCAGTTGACCTTGAAGGACTACCCTTCCCACGGACCTCTTTCTCCTTGCACTTTACCCGAAGCATCTTCATGAGCACAGTTTCCCAGCATGGATTCCTCAGGGACACCAATTCCATAACCCATTCCTTGGTCTCAGAGCCGTGTCCATCCCTCAGCATCATGAGTACCCAAGAAGTGCTTGGGAAACTCTGTTTGGGGTAACCCGTTATTATTAGGACTTGTTTTTCCACCTTTTGAGGAAGCTTGGCTTCTTCACCTATGGTTCCGAGGCTTCCCAGTGGCCATGAAGACCTTGCTCGGGGGTACCTCCCCTCTAGCAGTCAGAAACAGCCTCCCTGACTCTTCCTGTTTGAAAGCCTCCACCTGGGGCTGCCGCCTAGGTTTCTGTTTCTGCCTGAGAGAAGCCTCTAGCCTCCCAGAGCAATGATGAGCGACCGGCCCATGACCTGCTGATTGATGAAGGTTCCCCCGCCTCTTGTCAGACCTGCCCACATCTGGGAGAGCTGCTGGGTTGTGTTTGTGGGGTGGCCTTCCAGGAGCCCGCCGTGATACTGGATTTCAAAATGCAGTATCCACCACACGCACATTGTCGGTCATGGGAAAAGGAAGGTATTTTCCTAGCTCAGCATGTGTTTGCAGCTTCCCAGCGGTCTTTCTGATATGAGAATTTAGATCATGGAGGTCTCCCTCTTTTTCTTTGGCAATCCTGTTGCGTCTGTGGTCTGCACCTAATGATACCTTGCTGTAACTTCCTGTTTCTCCTCCAGCGACATGTGAGGAACACATTCTTGTGGGGGGGAGTGGAGAGCCGCAGGTGTTGTCAGAAGCCTGAGCATTTGCCCCTTCATGACCATGACTGGTGGGATGGGTCAGTGAACTCATTTGAAGTGGTGAAGAGTGTACCCCCCAGGGAACTCACCGGCTCTGGGAGCCATAGCAATGGGGCCAGTCCCATGGTTTGTCAGAGGGAGAAGGGGGTCTGGTGCCAATACCTCTATTTTTTAAAAATTCTTTTGAGCTCTCGAGACTCTGAAATCATCTTGCAAGTGTCTTTATGAGCATGTTCTTGATCCGCAGCACGGAGACCTCCTCTGTTTGTTCACTTCTGCATACTTGGTGCTGGCACAATGTCTGGCACATGAAGGACAGCTCAATAAATGTTTGTGGCTGGTTGAGTAAAATCTCTTTTCTCAGTTGTTGCCCCCTTTGGAGGCTTCCTCAGTCCCTCGGGGATGGGCGGCAAGACCGGCCCAACCATGGCACCAAGTTGAATGTCCTGGTGGATTTGGAGGAGAGACAGGGTGGGATTATGGGGAAAGATGTTGAATTTGCAGAAGACCTGGGTTTGAATCTTAACTCTGCCGCTGACTTATTCCGAGGACCTCTCTTAGCCTCCGTTTCTTTATCTGCATAGGAGGGATAATGATTACTCTCCTCTCACACATACTTCACAGTCTTGGGTTGAAGAATGTATGGCAAACCATACATGTGTTTTAAACCATAAAGTCTGCCAATATGGAGGATTCCAAAATTATAGTCTTTCTCCTCTTTGCTTTTTTTTTTTCCTTCGCATGAAGCCAGGTGCCTTGGCTTGCCTCTGCCAACACTATTGGAATCTCCTGTGGTTGGGTCATGATCTCAGGGTCGTGAGATCGAGCCCCGTGTTGGGCTCTGTGCTGGGTGTGGAGCCTGCTTAGGATTCTCTCTCTCCCTCTCTGTCCCTCCCCCTGCTCTCTCTCTTTCTCTCTCTCTCTAAAAAAAAAAAAAAAAAAAAAAAAGAATCTTCTGTGGCTGCCTGGATCCCCCGTAGGATTTCCATTGCCTGAATTCCCTAATAACTCTTGTGCAGAGGTATTACTCGAGCCTAGCACACTCCCTTCTTAGACCTGGCCTTGGCCCCTATACCACTGGCGAGCACTCCATCGTTGTCATGTGTCTATGAACTGGACACCAGGGGCTGTACCATCAAGGGCTGCTTGACGGTATTTCTCTCTCCCCAGGAGGCTGCTGAAGAGTGAGCTTGGATCCTTCATTACAGACTATTTCCAGGTAAGCTGCGTGGGTCTGAGTATCTGCCATTATAGTGTATGTGGATGCATGTACCATTCCTTCAACATCCAAAATTACAGACACCGAGTCCCTGATACAGGCAGGGCCAGTGTGGTCCCTCTTTTTATGGAGATGATGATCTTGGGCAGCAGTTCTCAGGCTTTTTTAGTCTCAGGACTCCTTTATGCTCTTAAAAATGACCACTTATTTGGGTTATCTCTGTTTTCACCATATTGGAAATGAAACCCAAGAAACTTTAAGATATTTAATTCATTTAAGTAATAAACCTATTACACATTAGCCTAAGCAGCATTTTCCTGAAAGATGGCTTTTTTTTAGAATAAAAAACAAAACAAAACAAAACAGAAGAGCGGCATTGTTTTATGCTTGCAAATCTCTGCACCGTCTGGCTCCAGAGGAGGTAGCTGGATCCTCATATCTGTTTCTCATTCAGTCTGTTGCGGTACTGCACATCATGTAGTCTCTGGAAAATTGCATGGTACACCCATGGAGGATGCAAGGAAAAGGGCAAATTGTGGTTTCGGGTTACTGAGGAAATAGTTTTGACCATGTGGAAAAGGTCTAAGGATCTCTCGTGGGACCCCAAACCACACTTTGAGAATTGCTGCTTTAGTGACCTTCCCTCCCACCCCCATGGATGGCATCTAAATCACTGTAACTATAGGTACCCTTCAGCCAAGTTGTTTCTGGTCGCTAAGCCTCCCGGTCTGTCCTGTTAAAGATGATTGGATCGGGGGATCTGACGTCCCTCCCGCCAAAACCCTGTTGTTACGGGGCTATTGAACTCAAGGTTCCAGTCTCACTTAGAGGATGGTCTCTAATCCACTGATACAGGTTGTTTTCCTGATTCTAACCACAGGCACATGGGGATGGGGAGGGCATGGGGACGTGTTGTTTGACTGAGTAACTCACTGGGTGACACTTCGGTGAAGTCAGAGTTCCTGCTTTTCACTTATTAGTTGAGTGGTCTCGGGCAAAATGCCTTGTTTTCCCCATCTGTAAAATGGGAATAAAAATATGACCTACCTTAGAGGTCATTGTATGGTTTACATGAAATGACATCCGTAAAGTACTCAGCACCTAGTGTGTGGGGAGGGAAGTGGGGGGACAGAGTGGGGGAGTGGTCAAGATCGTGCCCCCTAAAGCCAGACTACCTGGGTTCAGTGCCCAGCATAGCCACGTACTAGCTGTGTGACCCTGAGCAATTTGCTTTACCTCTCTGTTTTAGTTTTCTGTTCTAGGAAAACAAGGGTAATAGGACCAAACCTTATAAGGTTGTTGTGAGGACTAATTATTATTTGTTAAGTGTCAAGAACAGTGACGAGCACAGAGGAAGACAGAGTGGTCATTCAATTTATATGTGTGCATATTTGTTATTCTAAGGTGTCATCCATCCCTTTTAATGGGAAAGTAACATAAAAACAGAAAACATCTTGGTTTCAGGTTGGTGGTGTTATTCCATATCCAAGGAGAACATACTTTTAGGACCGTTTAAAGAGTTTTTAGGTCTTAAAAACAACACAGGCATTCTTTTTTTTTTTTTTTTACCAAGATTCAGGAAGCTTAAACTTTTATGTGCACTTTTTTTTTTAAGATTTTTTATTTATTTATTTGACAGAGCACACAAGCAGGAAAGCAGCAGGGGGAGGGGGAGGGAGAAGCAGGCTCCCCGCTGAGCAGGGAGCCTGATGCGGGGCTCCATCCCAGGACCCTGGGATCACGACCTGAGCCGAAGGCAGACGCCTAACCTACTGAGCCACTCAGGCGCCCCTTATGTGCACTTTTAAAGAATGACAGATGTCAGTCCTTTAAAACACACACACACACACACACACACACACGTGTGCATGCACATGCACGCACGCACATGCACAGAGCAGAAAATGGCCACTATAAATTTGGACAAAGCAAGACTCAACGGAAGCCTGGAATTCAGTTGGCTCAGATGTCTCAGCTGCTCAAAACAAGGCCCCGGCCCAGGGAGAGACAAACGTAAGGATTAAGAAAGAGGTAATTAGTTACAAATGTGAATCATCTCTGTTGCCCTTGACTCAAAGGTCAGTCTTGTCTTCAGCCTCTCCTCTTGCTGTCTGTAGGGATTGATTTTTAAGTCCAACCCCAGAGAAGTGGTTTTTCAATCAGTCCTGGAGGAACCTGCCCAGCCGGCTGCCTTTCTCGTTGACATTTAAAATAGACAGTTTGGTGTGGTTTCAATCGGGTTTTAAATGTCAGTTGTCTTTTGACATGGGGGGCTTACCCCTAGGACGGGTGGGGAAGGGCATTTGGGTGGGGACTTGTTTATCTGGGAAGCCCTGAGGTTTTTGGGGGCAGTTAATGCTGCTTACAATTATGCCAAACACTTAACAAATAACCACACGTCATTTTTTTTTTTTTCTATCGAGAGCTTAATCAGACAAACTGCTTGGTGAATAGTGAGTCTCAGAGTGTGGGGTAGGAACTGGTTTTCACAGTTTTGAATCTGGGTTTTTCCTTAGTGTAAGGTGCTAGATGGGAGAGAGAGCTAGCCTGGATGCTGTCGAGCTGTCTGCTTAAATGTAGGTCTTAAGTCTCATATAAGGAGCAGAGCCCTTTTTAAAAAAGGTGTCTGGTTCCCCAGTCCCTGGAAGGTACCTGGCATAGAATAGACGCTCAGTAAAGTTTCTTGGGGGAGAGGGAGATAGATGATTTTAGGTGGTAGAGGCAGGGGCGTTAAATAACTTTCACCTTCGGGGCTGGAAATTATTTCCCTTCTCTTTCCTTTAGCGCTGCTGATTGTGCCAGAGAGCGTCTTGGTTTGCACCAGTGTCTTTGACACTTCTGCGGGACTTGGCGATCGTGTTTCAGGAAGACAGAGCAGACCTCAACTGTAGAGCCTTCAGCTAGGGACACTAATTAGGATTTCATAACTTTTTTTTTTTTTTTTTTGCATGGAGTTGATGGTTGAGTTACATTCTATTTATGGCACCTGATGTTACTATAGTTTCATTTTTAGACATATGTATGTTTTAAAAGCAGATGGATTTAAGAAAAATAGTCTGCAAAGAGTAACAGTTTAGGCGGTCCCGGCTATGGCCAAATGCTGAAGGTGGTTCAAGAGAGAATCGGGTTTGGAGAGCCCCGTGCTAGGCACCTCTTGAAATGGGCTGGTCCCAAAGCCACGCCAAGTAGAACTCTCCATGAGGGAGGATGGAGGGGCGGAGGGGCATCCAGGAGGGAGGGTTCTAGAGGCCAGCCTTCACAATTCACTGGCAGATGGAAAGTCTGAATGGGCTCCAGGAAGAACATTCCTCCAGCAAGGAGGAGGGCAGAAGGTCTGGGGACGAATAAGGAACAGAACCCAGGGGTGGACAGGGAAGACCCCAATACCATGGATGTGGCTGTTGGTGAAGATGATGAATGGGCTCCTTGGGTACTGGGCTTCTCTATGTAGAGGATCAGATGGCCTCCTCCTGGGCATCTGCATTCAGCAATGGACTCCCATCTCCTGGGACCCAGACCCCCAACCCAGACATCTCTACTTACAAAGCCTTCTTTGTGACGCTGCTTCTGAAAGTGAATATTCTCATTTTGTAGCTTTAAAGAAAGAGTCACAGAAGAATATCTTCAGTGAAGAATAATGAAAATGACCTGAGGTGAAGGCAGAGGGGAAGCAGGTGGAAAAACAGTACTTATCTTGTGTCTACACACACACAGGAGACAGGCGTCTGAGCCACAGAAGCACAGATAGATTTCCAGAAGACACTGACCCCCCCCCCAATATCTGACATTTCCAGTATTTTCTTTTTCCCTCTGTTTTGCATTGCGCCTGGAAGGAGGGTTGGGGTTTCCCAGGGGAACTTTGTATCATGGAAACAGCTCTGTGGGATAATTCATTCCTTATAAGTTTGGAAACCAATGATATGAAATGCTGTGCATTTTTCTATCACCTAATTAGCACTTAACCACCTTGGTGGTGCGGGGCATGGGGATGCGAGGGGTTGCAGATAGCGTTTTCTGTGTTCCTGTATCTGCTGGCGTTGCCGTGGCTGCTGCAAGCTTTCCCCTAAGCCCAGAAAGTTAAATTCCTTTTGGTTTTGCTTGCTACAGAAACTCTGGGGCGCCTGGGTGGCTCAATTGTTAAGCGTCCGCCTTCAGCTCAGGTCATGGTCCCAAGCGAGCCCCGCATCAGGCTCCCTGCTCTGCAGGAAGCCTGCTTCTCCCTCTCCCACTCCCCCTGTTTGTGTTCCCTCTCTCACTGACTCTCTCTGTCAAATAAATAAATAAATAAAATCTTAAAAAGAAAGAAACTGTCTATCATCAGTGGCTCTGAATGAGATAGTACCTAGGAATGGGGGAAATTTAGTCACCCTAATGCCTAAAGGTGATGGATGGCCTGGTATCGTTTGATATAAAGACCTCCCCCCTACTACCCATATCTGTGAGAGTCCCAGGAGGCCAGTTTCCTCCTTAGCTCTTCATTATCAGGGAAGATTCACTGAGGGTTTATGACAGAGCCAAAGAAGGAAACATCGAAGCATCGTGGCCACTGTGGAGTTGGAGATTGCAGGCAGAACGGGGATATAGATGCATACCACACTGTGTCGTGTTAACTGAAAACCTGAATGAATGGTAAAGGCTTCCAAAGAGGCCCAGAATAAGTAGATTTTGTAGGGGCAAAGATGGGACTGGTTAGAATCCACAGCTAGCTGGGTGGAGAGATGATAAAGAATGGGGAAAATCACTCGTATGTGATTTTTTTTTCCCCCAAACCCAAATGGGATAGGAGAGAAAAGTTTCAGCTCCTCTTTGGTCAGCCTGGGAAGTCTTCTCCAACTGATGGGATTCCCCAAGTAGAAAAAGATGATCAGGTGGACAGAGGGTAGCAAGGGATGGGGTGTTGAAATAGCTGAGCTCCAGCGAAAAGACAAGGAAGAGGGGAGGGGATGATGCCTTTAGGTGAGAACATTGTTACAGGTTGTGTTTCAGATTTGGCCAATACT